GTTCTTCAAACAGCTCAATCAATATGCGATCATTACTTTATGCATAGTTCTACTATTAGTACTTTTGTTCTTGTATTTCTGACCTACTGCTGCATCCTGCTACATTCCTTCGCGCGCGACACCCCTCTCACCGCGACGCGACCATTTCGTTCCTAACGCACCACACCCGTCGTTAGCGGCCCATTAGTGTAATGGGAGACCGCCTCGATGAGCTACAGAGCAGAAGCCCTTGAATACGTGTCACTTATAGGTCCTAAAGGACGGTGATTTGTCCAAAAGGTTGAACCAAATACAATGATTTACGATTCCAAACCTGTCACCGTGATAAAGGGTCAGGTTTCAGCATGTACAGGTTTTGTAAGGTGAAACATCGATTATGAAACCATAAAACCTGCAAGCACAACATTGCCGCATTCATGGTTGTTAAAATTCTGTCTACCAAATTTACTTGAATTGTTAGTTCAATATGACGTAAATTCTCAAAACGATCTCTCATTGCATCTGTCATTGAGCCACTTTCATTTCTTTGTGTGTCAAGATTTTCCCATTCGCCCAATGTTTCAGAAGATTCGTAATTGAGTTGTTTTCCGAGTAAACGAGTTCCACGATGGGGTCGAAGGATCCCCCGTTGAGCGAGAATCTTCTGAACCTCACGTGAGTTTATTATGGTGTCCTTTTTACTATTCTGTCATTCCCAACTCCCGGGCTTGCCCTGCACACGGATTCAGGGTATTTTAACCCGGGGTACTGGATGAGGGAAAGAAGAAAACATAAAAAACAAAGAGCTCTTCCAGTGAGTTCAGGCCTGGGCAGTCAACTTACGGCATAGAGGGGATCTAGGGATTTTAAAGTTTCCAAGAATCTGCACTTGAAAAAGGGATCCATCTGAACTCTCTCTGCTTTTCAGTGCTCCGAATGGTACCTTGCGTGACACGTTATGTGAATATTCATTTCAGGGATATCAATGAAACTTCTGTACTGGATGTTATCGAAGAACGTTTCAATAACAAACGAATCTATGTGAGTGCACCTGTCAAACTTTATTCGTGCTTAATGTGCAACAGTGGTAAAGTACTTTACTCGATTCTAAATTACGCGATATTGTACCTGAAAAGGCTTCAAAGCAGTTATCACTGCCCACATCAGAAAGACTAATAACATCAGGTAGACGAACAGTCTAAAAACTAAAGCCACAGAATTTGATAGAAATTCGAAGGCAAGGTTCATGCTGGGTCCGTTGTAGACGGTCAGGTAAGTCCAGATGACCATCTGCCAGTGAACGCTGCTGTGGCGCTGACAGAACCATCCCACTAGTGACCAATCGAACAGACTCCGCCCATCAGCTTACATGGCCAAGCGATTGGTCACTGCTTTCTAACAGCTCAAAATATTACATGTATAATATCTTTATAAGTATTTTGAAATTTTTTATCTTATTCAGACAAACGTTGGAGGTGTTCTGTTAGCTGTGAACCCTCTCGAGAAGTACAGAATCTACGATGAAGCTGTTATGGCACAATATCAGCAATTTAACAAAGTCGCGTAAGTATGGCCACTTTTTTTTAGTAAACCGAATACTGGTTTTGTCTTCGAGTTATTTATTAGACCCTGCTCAGAGAATTGTTTTCCAGAGAGCAATAAATATAAGGTATATAGCAGTAAAGAGAGTCATAAATGAATCTCTGAGTTCACTCCTATGGTCAGTGACATGCATACGCATTATATAAGAGAATTTGTCAACCCAGAGCGTGTTTAGAGATTCAAAAAAAATTTTTGTTGTTATGTGGATATTGACGGTAGGAAAGTCATTTTCGTTCAGCCATATCTTCACTCCAGCTAGATGTGCAGTCGAGAGCATCCAGAGTGGGTCGAGCTCGGAAAACATAATATTCAGGTTAGCTTTTCCGACTTTCAGTTGATCATCACAATATTACAAGTGATTGAGCTGTCCTACCTACAAAAAAGTGCAGGGTATGGTAGGAGTCCCTGTCAGGATAGTTGTGAGTGGATATCGCGGGCGATTCACCAAGGGCTTCCCTTTGCGCATGTAGAAATCCAATAGGAAAGCTTCTAAACTGCTGTATTCTATTGACTTGATATTTGTTCGAAATTCATTTTATTAAAATGAATTAGCTGAATTTGAACTTTATTTTGCTCAGCACAGAAACCAACATGCTCATATTTTACAGTGGCGAATCGAATTCTGGCAAGTCATTCAATGCTTTCCAAGTGATGAAATATCTGGCTACTTCGAATAACAGTAAAGTCACTTTGAAACATGTAAGAGTTTAAAAATGCTTCAATAAAAAATAGTTTCACTGTTTTGTACTATTTTCCGAAATGCCGCAAGAACTAATTACACAATTCCAGATAGAAGCCATTAACACGATTTTCAATAGCTTCGGCTGTGCAAAAACCGTTAAAAACGATCAAGCTACTCGTTTCGGTTACTGTATGGATTTCTTGTACAATAAGTAAGTGGATTGAGTAATTGTCTTTTACTACTTAGAAGCCGGCCCTAATAGGCTCGCATGAGATTTATAAACCCTGATTGAGGGCACTGTGGTCCATGGGGAAGATTTCGCTACATTTTGTTAACTGTTAGAGCTGGTATTTTGCTATGAGTGCTTACTGCAGTAAAGCGTCAAGGAAGTAAAGTAGAAAAGAGGGTTATGACTAAAGGTTATCCTATCTTATTGGAAATCCATCCATAGTTTCTATTTTAGACGAACTTTGTTGCCCCGGAACATCCCAGAAATTGTCGCCTTTTTCTATTGGGTCACTGCCCTTATTGTCATTATTACTATTATTATTTATAGCTAAATTTTATTCGCAGTATTATTCTTCTATCCGCATTGTTTACTATATTTGTTATTTTTTAATATTCTTATTTATTTATTTTTCAATCCGAGGGCACACCATAGGCTTTTAAGGAACACGTTATCGGGGCTGAGCTTGCGAACGACGTTGCCGTTGGAGACAATCCGAGTGGTCTCCCAGAAAGCAGGCGAACGCAATTTCAACGTCTTCTATGAGCTGTGTGCTGGCATGTCATCTGAAATAAAAGCCAGCTACGGTATTCGGGATCAGCAGAAGTTCTTCTACCTTACACAGGTAATTTCAGTGCTATCACATATCTGTAACGATCACCTCAACGGTGTCGTCAACTGGAATTTATTACTGTAGACGAAGGAGAACGTTCGCTGACTGTCTATACGAAATGAGTTCGACGGTTTACAGGGCAAAGTCGGAGAGGATGGAGGACGAGATGATATGGTCAACTTTTCACGACTCCACGCATCACTAGAGATTGTCGGGTTCTCCGAGGAACAGAGACAGATTATCTATAAGACACTGGCAACAATATTACATCTCGGAAATATGTACTTCAGACAGCGTCGGGTACGAGTTCTACTTGTTGGAATGGTTACTACATAAAACTCTTCCGGATCATTCACACTCACAAAATAATCCCCTGATATCCTGACACCATAACCAATGAACCCCCATCAATATCCTACATTGATGAAATTCCCACAAGTTTTCTAACAAGTAATGGGATTCGAAAGATAAGATCTGTCCCTGTGAGACAGATGGAACCTTAGCCTTTGAATAAACCCAACTTTCCCTTTCATTCTTCTAGACTCTACTTCAGAATACCGCTGACGATTCTGAATATGTGGAAGTGGGTAACGATGCTGAGCTAAAGTGGGCATCATACCTGCTAGATGTGGACATGCATAGTTTCGCTCCATGTTTCACACATAAGATCACTGTAAGTTAAACTATTAATGAATTATCACTAGTTTTCTATTATTATTATTATTATTATTATTATTATTATTATTATT